GAGACGGAAAAGATTGTAGAGCTTCTAACGACGAGTGACGTTTATAGGTTTCTTTTGTAAAAAATTGAGTTTCGTTTTGATTAACATGAAATTTCAAATATGCTATGATTCTTTCTATGTTGAGGTGTACAATAAATTTTGGTGTATAAGAAGAGACTAAAAGAGAGTTTATAATTTCTTTTGTAGTGGAATATATGTTAGAGGTTTAATATTTCCTGGTTATCAAAATACACATGAGATTTGGGCCGTGTAGATATTTTTTGGGTGAGAGGGGAAACACTCGAAAACTTCAACGTAGAAGCAAAAACAGAGAGGAACAGAGCATAAAATACAGAGCAAACCAAACAAGAACCCAACTAATTCTAATAACAAATGTTTTATCTAATTTAAGTATATATTTATGTAGGGCTTATTTTATAACAACTAGGTTATGAACTCCCGCGATGTCGCGGGGGAACTCATTTTCAACAAATATAATTGATTGTGTTTATGTATTAAATTATTATGATAATATATTCAAAAATTTGAATTATTACATAAAATTAAATATGTCTTAAAGTTATAACAACTTATGAATAAAAATGTAAAAAAGAAGAATTATGATTAAAAACACTTTTGATACAATTTTTTTTTTTTTGTCAACCAGATATTAATTAATAAGTAACTCCTAGATTGGTTGCCCAATTAGGAGGAGTAGTGTCTACAAAAGAAACTTCAGACTGAAACAATTTTTATGAATGTAAAATTATTTATAAGTGACAAATACATAACAAAGAGTTATAATATTGAGATGAGAAATTGTAGCGGGTCAAACCCCAAAAATTCGGAAGGAGTCGGTACTCAACACGACTTGTGGGTGACTAAGAACTTCGCCCGAGAATTGGAGTTTTTTGTTTGTCTACTATTCTTTAATTATAAAATTAATATTTATTCTATTATATATATAATATTTATTCTATTATATATATTAGAGAAAATATAAAATTTGATGACGTAAATTACATCTATAACAAACAAATAAACATTTACAAGATCTCATAAATTTCTATTTGTATTGATAAATTAACTTAGTAAAAAAACTTCTTCCTTGAATATTCATGTGACGAATTGAAATCATTGTTTTTTTCCTAAAAATGGAGATGATTTCTTGATTACTATACCATTTCAAACGGTTTATTTGACGCTTACCACATTTAAAGCGCCCAATCACAAGCGTCACATGAGGATGTCTTCTCATATTCGGACTTTGTAATAGTTCTAACTCAGCATCAATATTTTGTTGTATATAATCCATATATATTGCATTAAGATAGAAAGCATCATTGTTACCATATAAAATAGTTAAATAAAATTTTTTACGGTATAATCCGTCCAATTCTAAGAAAACAATTATTGGTATCTTCATTAGAATTCTATCTTTAAAGTTGATTAAAACTTCTCCATTTTTATAATCATTCCAAAAACCTTTGGTTAAATCAAAATGAGAAGAATTTTTTTAATATTAAAATGGTGTATGTTTAGAAATAGTTTAGAGAATAAATAATTTGGAACGATTTTACAGATTTTTTTTTTGGATTCATCATGAAACAAATAATCTATGTTAAAGAAAAAAATTTTCGGAACTACTTAGGAAGAAGGACAAATATATAGAGTTCAAAAGTCACGAACATTTAAATATACATTTATTCATACAAAAAGTTGTAACGAAAAAATGCAATGAAATATAGTGAAGAGACGTAACTTTAAATGAATAGATGCAACTATAAAGACACAACCGTAAACTGAAAAAAAAATATGACTATAAATTGAACAAATAGAACTGTCTAAAAAAATAACCGTCAATATTATAACGAAATGATGCGATAAAAAAACACAACTTAGAAAAAATAAGCGTCACTATTTTAACAGAAAGTTGCGATAAAAAGATACAAATGAAAAAAGTTACCGTCAATATTTTAACGGAAAGTTGCGATAAAAAGACCCAACTGAAAAAATAACCGTCAACGAAAAAAGGTAACCGTCAATATTTTAACGAAGTGTTGCGATAAAAGTATACGACCGAGAAAAAATAACCGTCAATATTTAACCGGAAAATGCGATAAAAAAAACACAACCGAAAAAAAATAACCGTCAATATTCTAACGGAAAGTTGCGATAGAAAGATATAACCGAAAAATGTAACCATCAATATTTATCGAAAAGTGACGATAAAAAGATACAACCAAAAAAATAACCGTCAACGAAAAATGTAATCGTAATTATTTAAACGAAGAGTTGCAATCAAAAAGACACAACCGAGAAAAAATAACAACCGTCAATATTTTAACGGAAAGTTGCGATAGAAAGACACAACCAAAAAAAGTAACCGTCAATATTTTAACGGAAAGTTACGATAAAAAAGACACAACCGAAAAAATAACCGTAAAAATAAAGTAACCGTAATTATTTTAACGAAGAATTGCGATAAAAAAGACACAACAGAAAAAAAATAACCGTCAATATTTTAACGGGAAATTGCGATAAAAAACACAAACATAAAAAGTAACCGTCAATATTTTAACGGAAAGTTGCGATAAAAAATACACAACCGAAAGAATAACCGTCAACAAAAAAGTAATCATCAATATTGTAACGAAGAGTTGCGATAAAAAGACACAACCGAGAAAAATAACCGTCAATATTTTAACGGAAAGTTGTGATAAAAAAACACAACAGAGTAAAAATAACCGTCAATATTTTAACGGAAAATTGCGATAAAAAGACAAACGAAAAAAGTAACCTCCAATATTTTAACGGAAAGTTATGATAAAAAGACAAAACCGAGAAAAATAACTGTCAATATTTTAACGGAAAGTTGCGATAAAAAGACAAAACCGAAAAAAATAACCGTCAATATTTTAACGGAAAGTTGTGATAAAAAGACACAACCGAGAAAAAATAACCGTCAATATTTTAACGGAAAGTTGCGATAAAAAGACACAAACAAAAAAAAGTAACCGCCAATATTTTAACGGAAAGTTACGATAAAAAAACACAACCGAGAAAAATTACCGTCAATATTTTAGCGGAAAGTTGCGATAAATAGACACAACCGAGAAAAATAACCGTCAATATTGTAATGGAAAGTTGCGATAAAAAGACACAACTGAGAAAAAATAACCGTCAATATTTTAACGGAAAGTTGCGATAAAAAGACACAAACAAAAAAGTAACCGCCAATATTTTAACGGAAAGTTACGATAAAAAGACACAACCGAAAAATAACCTTCAACAAAGTAAAAAAATAACCGATTAAAACGAAAATTGCGATAAAAAGACGCAACCAAAATAACCGTAAAAAAATAATCGATTTAAACGAAAGGTTGCGATAAAAAGACGCAACCGTTCAGATGTGCAAATGGTATTTATTAGATTGCTATTATATATAGATTAATAGTTAGGGATAAAATCAAGTACCGTGAGGTCATTGAGAAAGACAAATTTCCAGCCGAGAAGACCAGCACGAACGGCCAAGTCCATGTCCTCTACAGTGGTCCGGTCATGCCATCCTCCAGCTTCTTCCATTGCGTCCATTCTCCATACACCCGCAGTTCCTGATAGAGATATACCAAAATCATATTTATGAAATAAAGTCAAAGAGTACCTGAAATACATTAAAACATGTAATGATAAGCAAATTCACCATTGAAGCTAAAGAAGGCATGTCTAGTGGATCCAGATTCTATTGATCAAAACTATTAAGAACACAAGACATGTTTAACAAAGACTTCTCTCTTTATTATGTTTAAGAAACTTACACAAAACTTAAACCTCACAAATCTCTTGTTCTCTCAAAACACACATAGGGTTAGCCACAACCTTGGCACCTCTATTTTTATAGAAAACTGATTCTACAAATCCTAAACACACTAGGATTAGGTTTAGATAACTCCTAACCAAACTCTAGAATCTTCTTTAACATAAACCGACTTGTTTATGTTTTTTTTTGGGCCTTAAGCTTCTCAAGTTTAAACAACAGATTCCTGCTCCGCCATGAAGTGGTAGTTGAGGGACATCTCTTGCATCCTCGTCATCAAGCACTTGTTTGAGTTCACTGCGATGAACCCCTCACACACATACAATCACTCGGTTTGAAAATTGACTTTGTTAGGATTCCTAATTATGCCGAAAAATGTAAGGGACCAATGTACATAACACCAACTAGATTTTGTGTTAAAAATTTACAAATATTGATAGTCTTATAATAGTTAATAGTTGTTAATTTTTAGGTATGTCAAATTGTCGACCATAATCTACGTACTGAATCTCCATCGGGCTTGAACAAGAGCGACCTCGGGGTTGTGAACGAGGAAGGGGACAGAGCGTTGGAGGTAATCAGGCTCCGGTTGAAAGTCTGTGTCGAAGATGACAACATAGCTGCATAGCTTCACGTAGTTGTGCTTCATGCCTTGTTTAAGAGCTCCGGCTTTATAGCCATTTCTGTTGTCTCTCCTCTCACACTTTATATTTACGCCTTGGCTTTCCCACTTTGCACACTCTGTGTTCACCAGCCCCTGAAATTCAGTTCTATACTTCTATTCACATTAATTATCGTACGATTAATACATATATATGTCCAGTATATCAACAATCTTGGTCATGAAGACCTTGATGGTTTTGAACAAAAAAGAAAAAAAAAAAAAAAAGAAGACCTTGATGGTTTGATTAGTGGAATCATCTAGAACTTGAACAATTAGGCGTTCCAATGGCCATATTAGTCTACATGCAGCACCTATAGATAATTGAAGGACCTGCGAGTTAATAACATGTTAGGAATCTCACATCTATAAATGTACAAATATAATGTCATATTTATTGTCAATTAGTTTTGAGATAAACTTTATGATTCGGTCCGTACTATAATTTACTGAATACATGTAGATATACCTCTTTTTCGTTGTACATTGGAATTTGAACAAGGACCATGGGGTAGGTTTCATGTCCGAGCTCAATGTCCTCCGGCATCGGCTCCTATTTGTAGATTTTTCGGGTTTTCGCTTAAACAACTTGACGTAGAGCACTACAAGGTTCATGTATATACCCTCTATGAAAACTAAGAGGGAGATTATCAAACAAAGAGCCACCAAACACTTGAATAAGGGAACTATAAGGAAGCTCCTCAATTCTCGTGTCCATGTTGTGTCGATGCTTATCCTCACACCATTAACGGATGCTTCAAGCTTCAGCTGCATCTTCAGAGCTCCCTCCATGGAACTTCTCATGCATATAGTATAGATAAACAAAATTAGAAACTATCCGTAAAAAGCAGAGAAACAGAGCAAGTGATAAAGAAAGATATATGATGGTCTTAATTACCATTAGAGATAAAAGGCACGACATGAATCTTGTAAGAAGATAAGTGACTTCAGAAACGTAGTCATATTATTTGTGTCTAGTTTAAGCTCATCAGTGACTTACTTCAAGAGAGATTCTGATTCAATGGTGCATTTGCATCTTTAAGCTAGCACATTGATTTATTTTGTTTTATTGTTTTTTTAGTTGAGACATTTTCTTGGTTTTCTTTAGTTTAATTTGGTTGGTTCTCGACTTGTCGTTAATAGTGTAGTGTACGTTGCTGATTATTTGGAGAAGATGCTGATGACTCACGAGCAGTATCACAACTTTAAACCACACAAAAGAAAAAAGAACAAAAAAGTGTTTTCGATTCTGAATCATTATCAAAAAGAACAAAAAAAGTTTTTAACTTCCTCTCACTATTTTTTATCCGTAATTATCACGTGATGAATTTTGCAATTGTACTGGTTTTTGTCGATTTCGACGACAATGATAACAACAATGACCATTAAAAAAAAATCATAACCAAACATTGAAATTCAAATATACTAACCTACGTGTCTCATGGATTTGCATTTTAAGTCCTTAGGGAAAACAAAAATAGAATGGCTTCGCCCGGGTTCGAACCGGAGACCTTCAGTGTGTTAGACTGACGTGATAACCAACTACACCACGAAACCATGTTTGAACAATTCAAAAAATGTTAAGTATCTAACTTAATTTTGAGATTGACCGTACTTGAAAACCCCCATTGACCAAACTCTTCGAGGATTGAGACCAAAAACCCAGCTTAAACCCACCGTGTTTCGTCTTCCTTCTTCACCGGAAATTGAAAAACGAGAGATTCACGTCCCTGTGCTTGGTAATATGTTAATTTCACTCTACAAATTTAACTAGATCCATCCATTATCATGAAGAAGATCTTCATCACACTCTTATGGCTTCTCTTCATAAGCTCGTTTCTCTGTTCTTCTTCTTCAGCTGAAGACGACGTTCTTTGTCTCCAAGGTTTGAAAAACTCACTCATCGATCCATTATCTAGACTCAGTTCCTGGTCTTTCCCAAACTCTTCAGCTTCTTCGATTTGCAAGCTCACTGGTGTTTCGTGCTGGAACGAGAAAGAGAATCGGATTATTTCTCTTCAGCTTCAATCGATGCAGCTCGCCGGTGAGATTCCTGAGTCTCTTAAGCTTTGTCGTAGTTTACAATCTCTGGATCTCTCCGGAAACGATCTCTCTGGTTCGATTCTATTAGGAATGTGGCCTAACTTAACCCAAAAGCTAGCTCAAGAGTTAAGGATTGCCACATCCTTTATATACTACCCAAAGATCTTAATCCCAAGCAATGTGGGACATTCTAATAGGCCTCCTCGAGATGTGGGTGGGAAACGGTCCAACGGGAAACAGCCCAAGCCCAACATCTCGGAAATACAACAAGACATGCCACTTATATGGGTCACATAGGTGGGAAACCATTTGTGTGGGAATTTGCTTGTTGGGCCAACCTTGGGCTCTGATACCATATTAGGAATGTGGCCTAACTTAACCCAAAAGCTAGCTCAAGAGTTAAGGATTGCCACATCCTTTATATACTACCCAAAGATCTTAATCCCAAGCAATGTGGGACATTCTAATAGATTCCTTCTCAAATCTGTTCTTGGCTTCCCTATCTCGTTACGTTAGATCTATCTGGGAATAAGCTTGGTGGTTCGATTCCTACTCAGATCGTTGAGTGTAAGTTCTTAAACGCTTTGATTTTGAGTGATAATAAGCTTTCTGGTTCGATTCCTTCTCAGTTGAGTCGATTAGATCAGCTTCGACGTCTTTCTCTTGCTGGGAATGATCTCTCCGGTGCGATTCCTTCCGAGCTGGCGCGGTGGATTCGGAGGAGACGATTTTAGCGGGAATAACGGACTTTGCGGGAAGCCTTTATCGAGATGTGGAGCTTTGAATGGGAGGAATTTGAGTATTATTATTGCTGCTGGAGTTATTGGTGTCGTTGGATCTTTGTGTGTTGGTTTAGTGATATTTTGGTGGTTCTTTATTAGAGAAGGTAGTAGGAAGAAGAAAGGTTATGGTGCTGGGAAGTCTAAGGATGATAGTGATTGGATTGGTTTGTTGAGGTCACATAAGCTTGTTCAGGTGACTTTGTTTCAGAAGCCCATTGTGAAGATTAAATTGGGTGATTTAATGGCTGCTACGAATAATTTTAGTTCTGGGAATATCGATGTTTCGTCGAGGACTGGGGTTTCGTATAAAGCGGATTTACCTGATGGGTCTGCGCTTGCGGTTAAGAGGCTTAGTGCTTGTGGTTTTGGTGAGAAACAGTTCAGGTCGGAGATGAATAGGTTAGGAGAGCTTAGACATCCGAATTTTGGTGCCGCTTTTAGGTTATTGTGTTGTGGAAGATGAGAGACTGTTGGTGTATAAGCATATGCCTAATGGCACGTTGTTTTCTCAGTTGCACAATGGTGGATTGTGTGATGCTGTTGGATTGGCCGACTCGGCTTGCGATTGGTGTGGGAGCTGCTAAAGGGTTAGCTTGGCTGCATCATGGATGCCAACTGCCGTATTTGCATCAGTTCATTAGTTCCAATGTTATACTTCTTGATGATGATTTTGATGCTCGGATAACGGATTACGGTTTGACAAGGCTAGTTGGATCTCGCGATTCTAGCGATAGCTCGTTCAATAATGGGGATTTGGGGGAGTTAGGTTATGTGGCGCCTGAGTATTCGAGCACCATGGTTGCATCTTTGAAAGGAGATGTGTATGGGTTTGGAATTGTACTTCTTGAATTTGTTACTGGGCAAAAGCCTTTATCTGTTATTAACGGTGTGGAAGGGTTTAAAGGGAGTTTAGTTGACTGGGTGAGTCAGTATTTGGGGACTGGTAGAAGCAAAGACGCTATTGATAGAAGCATATGTGTTAAAGGACACGATGAGGAGATATTGCAATTCTTGAAAATCGCATGTAGCTGTGTTGTGTCCAGGCCTAAGGAAAGGCCAACGATGATTCAGGTGTATGAATATTTGAAGAACATGGCGGATAAACACGGTGTTTCTGAGCATTACGATGAATTTCCACTGGTCTTCAACAAACAAGAACCTTGAGTATCTTACCAGAAAGTAGTCTTTTTTGGCAGCTCAAGCGCTAAAAAGGTATGAGAAATCTACTTTGTATCAAAGCCTCTTTTTTTTTTTTTACTTTATATCTCATTCTTTGTTCCTTCCCCCACTGTTCTCAGTTTTTAACCGTGTCAGTGCTCGTGTTTGTCTTGTATTCTCCTACCGTATAATTCTGTACATCGTTTGGGTCATCAATGTACTCTTTGGAATATAACTTCTTCTGATGAAATGAGAAGATTTCTTGTGTCTTGTTTCATAATTGTATGTACAAAGCTAACAAGTTATTCTTGCTCTTCTACTTTGCCATTTGATTTAAAGTCTTAGGTTCCATATGGCCTTGGAGTTGAATCAATGAAGAATGTTTTTTTGACTATGGATTTTATCTTTGAGCTAATGTCTTTGATGGTCAAAAGGGTCAATGTATAAGTTGTTGGTGTTGTGATATCTTTTGGATGAGATGTGGGGTTTTGGTCTTATAAGAAGACAAGAGAGATTTAAAAGAAACGGTATGTTGGAGGCAGATCTAGAGATGTCTGCGTCTCGCCTGAGCTTAGACACATGAAATTTGACCCCACTTCTCATCTTTGAATAATGCTTGCTATCTTCTTGTCACCATTTCCTTTGACAATCTGTTACTTTCTTCTTTGTTGCAGTGACAAGCTGTGAAAGTCAAATATTAAATATGAAATGCGATGATGAATGCATCTCTTGATTACGTTCATGCATTATCTCTTGATTATTTCATTGGCCTTACCATTTATTCTTTTAACCTTTGGTTATACGACCAAACTTTTAGTCGCAAACTTGTGTGACTTTTTTGTGACTAATTTACGACTGTTTACCGACGAATTCAAACGCAGTTGGAATTTAGTCGCTATTTGGCGACTAAAACAAATAATCGGTAATTGGTCGTTCATTAACGACGGTTTTGCGCCCGATTGCAGACTAATTTGTTTTAGTCGCAAATGAGTCGCATCATATTGCACATGTGCGACTGATTTGCGACTCAATATTTGGTCTGAAAATATGGTCGCACTTTAGTTACGCTTTCGTTGCAAACTAGTTGGAAAAAGTTGGCACAAAACACGTTGAAAATGCAGAAGAGGTAGGTGTACTAAACTTTTGTGACTACATGAAACGGTCGTAGATTAGTCAAAATTTTAAGCCTATATATACCAACCTCATTCATTTAATTTCTCCATCCCACTCTCTTCCATCCTTGCAAATAGTCACAAATTTCTTTTTTTTTTGTTGTTGATAGATTGTGAATGGAAATAGGTGTTATATATGGAGAATAATAAGATAGTACATAAAGAGACATCAAAGATTAAGTCGTTGAGCAATGGAGAGGTTTTAGTGGAGAAACGAGGAGTGTCAGTTTTGGAGAATGGAGGTGTTTGCAAGATTGATCGTATGACAGGGCTAAAGTTCAAGCGCCGGAATGTTTTTGCTGTGAGGGATTTCCCACCGGGTTGTGGGACCGGTGTGGAGCGGTTTGGATTGAGAAAAATGGAAGATGAAGAAGAAGAATTTGAAGATGAATGAGTTTTATAATTATGAGATATTTTTATTTGTTTAATAAATGTATAAATATGTGTTTTGTAAGATATTCTAGCATGTATGTTTTATTCAGAGGAAAAAATAATCTAAATCAGTGACTAATTGTCTTGTGACTAATAGATAACAGTCGCAAAAGTGCCACCATTTTGTAACCATTGTTCATTTAGCGACTATTTTGCGACGAATATTGCAACTATTGACCGACCAATATTGCGACTATTTTGGTACTAATTGTGAAATTTCTAAGATTTTTGCTAAGTGTTTGGTCGAACTTAGTAATAAGATTCATGCACACCAAGTGTTCGTTAAAATGTCCTAACCAATGACATCTACAGATCCATTTTAAAACCAAATTCAATTGATGAAAATACTACAAGACAACATTACACAAACTAGAATTCTTATGCAAATACTCATAAATATTACAAGTTCAAGTTGGAGTTGCTTAAAGTCTCATAAACAATATTACATTACAACATTACACAAACTAGAATTCTTATGCAAAGAAGACATAGTACACCATAGCCATGACCAAACCACCACACACAACCATATTTTTGAAGCTTCGTAACTCTTGTACCTCTTTCTCACACAAACTGACGACATCTTTGAGATATACAATCTCTTTCTCACATCTTTCTGCCCTTTCTTTGATAGCTTCAAGCTAATGTAATCCTTTTGCTAAGCTTCCCACATCTCCTTCTATCTTCTCAACCACACTTTCAACCATTTCCATCTCTTCGACCATGGATATGTCGGTCCACCTAAACAAATGATGCTTATTCTGCAACAAAAATACACTCATGAGGACAATTTGCATATGTTCATACAACTTAAGAGCATATCATAACCAAAAAGATCACATTTTTACAACGTACAACAAAACCTAAGCAGCTAAAGAATGTGAAACTAAGATCAACGTAGACAAATTACGAAAGGTGAGAGATAAACCAATGTCTCGAAGCAATATCGAAAGCTAAACGAAAATTCAAATCAAGAGCAGCTTTGTGTACCTTAAGATTCTATAACTTAAGAAAACATTACCTCACCAATGTCTCGAAGCAAGATCGAAAGCTAAACGCAAATTCAAATCAAGAGAAGCTTTGTGTACCTTAAGATTCTATAACTTAAGAAAACATTACCTCCTCTGATCCGGAAGGACAACAATGAAAGAGTCTCCCCGGATTTTTCAAAGTGTTTGAAGTCTTAATCACAGAGAATTGACCATATTTACATTGTCTTGGGATCCCTCTTCCTCTCACAGAGAACCTATCGCTCACTCCTTCACCAATCCGCAAGAAATTAAGTATCTATCAAAATCTACAGAAAATGAATTTAACACCTTACATTCTCGATTACTGACCTGAAGAAGCTGATGAAGACATCGGGATCAACACTTATGAAGCTCAGCAGAAATTGGGATCTTTAGAACCCTAGCTTTTCCAAAATCCCCAATTCGATTTTATGTCGAAGGGTTGAAGAAGAAGAAGACTAAATGAGATGACTAAACGACGTCGTTTTACCCATTTGTCTTTCCTTTAAAATACGTCGCAAATCAGTCGCAAATTTGCGACCGTTTTGCGACAAACGTATATTGAAACGTTTATTCTCCACCAATTTTCTCCTAGTCGCTAACTAGTCGGTCATTTGCGACTAGCACCTGAAGATTTTGCGACTGTTTTGCGACTAGCACCTGAGATTGCGACTCATATGCGACTATTTGCCAACTCTCGATTTTTGTTTTCTCACTTTTCACATTTTAAATTTGCTTACATATAAAGTTAAACATTTCTACACTTATTTGATATTACTCATCAAGAAAATCTTAACCAAAGTCATAAATACTGATGTTTAGAAACAAAATATCAAAAACAAACAAATCTCTTTATGATATTACATTACTCATATGAGTAATGTTTAGGGATTTAGTAAAAACTCTACATTACTTGAGTTTTGCAAAGTTTTGTAACCTTAAACAAATATATGTCCTCTATAACCCTAATATGAGTGTTATAGAGTGATATATGTCACCATTTTGGATCGAAATGTGTAGATTTCAAAATTTTGCCTTGTGACTAATAGATCACAGTCACACAACCGTCGCAAATTTGCCACCATTTTGGAACGATTTGCCTGTTGGCGACTAATTTGTGACCATTGTTGCAACTATTTACCGACCATAGTTGCGACTATTTTGGTACTAAATGTGAAATTACTTGAGTTTTGCAAAGTTTTGTAACCTTAAACTAATATATGTCCTCTATAACCCTAATAGAGTGGCATATATAACCATTTTGGATTGAAATGTGTATACCTCTCCTTTTGCGTTGTGACTATAGATTACAGTCACAATCTGGTCGTAAAGTTGCCACTATGTTGCCACTATGTTGGAACTGTTTACCATTAAGCGACTATATTGTGACCATGTTTGCAACTATTTGCCGACCATTATTGCGACTATTTAGGTACTAAATGTGAAATTTCTAAGATTTTCGCTAAGTGTTTTGGCGGTTTAGATTCCCCCCAATTTTTTTACTTTGGTACCATTTTGCGACTAAAGAGCGACTGGTACTCTTAATTAATTAGGTAAAACTTAAACGAACCCTCATTTCCACCAAAATCCCCAAATCGATTTAGGGTTTCTCTCTCAATCTCTCAATTGTCCCCTCTCTCTCTCAATCGATTCTCACGCAAATCTCTCTCAGTTTTTCCCGATTCTCTCTCAAATCTCTTCCAATCCTCTCGAATCCTCTCTAAAAGCTCTAGAATCTCAACATCTCAAATCTCAAATCTTCTTATGCCGCCTAAAGGTAAATCCTCTCGAGGTCGCGGAGGTGGCGCTACCACCAGAAGAGTGGCCGCCGGAGGTGGCCAAACCAGCAGACAAGAAGCCGCCGGAGGTGGCCAAACCAGCAGACAAGAAGCCGCCGGAGGTGGCGTAACCACCAGACGAGTAGCCGCCGGAGGTGGCCAGGCGCTACCACAAGAAGCTGTAGGAGGAGGCGAGACCAGCAGACCAGTAGCCTCTCGAGATCGAGTCCGAACCTTCGTTGGTCACAGACCACCAGTCACTGCGAGTGGAGTCGGAACATCTTCAAACGCGTCGAACCCATCCTCGGCAAGTCAATCTGCGACCCAATCTCAAGTGAGTCGTCCTTCACTTAATTCTAGTAGACAAAATCCTCCTCCTAGGCAGACTCCTCCTCTCAATAGACAGACTCCTCCTCCTCAGCCGCAGCATCAGCCACCGTCTCCTCAAACCCAGCCTCTACCGGAACATGATGCGAATAACCAAGTGCTACCTGAAAACGAAGACCTTGTAGAGGAAGAGATCGATGATGTAGGACAAGAAGATGACGAAGAAAACCCTCATCCTGGGGAAGACTACCAAGAAATGCTGGATCGTTTGCTAGCTCTTCCAGGCCGAGAACATCTTACTCGATTGTCTGTACACCCAATCCCAGGCGTTGAAACACTCTGGTATTAACACTTTTGTCCCTCTGTTTGTTTTGTTTGATGTGTGATGTTTGGTATTGCTTAAAGTTTTGGTCTGAAATTTATCATTTGACTAGGGTTTGATCTATCATTTGCGAAAAGTTTCAAAAAGATACATGTTATTGCTTTGGTCTGACATTTGCATATTATTGGTCTGACATTTGCATATATTAGCTTGCATATCATTGTTTGTTGTTGTAATCGTTGAGTCTCAGAAGTGTTGTGAAATACAGTATGAGACTTGGTCTCAGGAGTGTTGTTTCATATATTAGCTGTCAAATACAGTATGTATATGCAATATATAACAGCTGTAGGTTTTTTTATTCAATGAGTTGTTGTTTTTGAACCATTTTGACAGAGTTTTAGCTAATTACAACAGTCGAATTGTTTTTGCATTGGTCTTCACTCTTTGAAACTGAACTAAGTTCATTCATGCTCATTCTCTGTTTGGTGTTTGCTCTTTGAATCTTTGCTATATCTTCATTTCATTCATGCTCATTCTCTGTTTGTTGTTTGCTCTATATAAAATCTGCTTTATATAGACTAATAGCTTCTTGTTGTAACAGGTTTAACCGGCAAAAGGGGGTGCTGTCTCGAGCAATTTCTAGAATATTTAGGAGGAAGTTTGATGGGCCTTACTACAGCTGGAAGGTTACTCCAATCAACATACAAGAGAGATATTTCAGAACTTTTGCGGTAATGACATATATATATAGCTTTCATTCTCTCTTATTGTAGTATATATAGTATGTTACTAACTTACTGTTTTGTGTTATGTAGCGGGAGTTTAATTGGGATACTGGGATTACTGCCCTTGTTAAACAAGGATTCTTGGTTATAGCACATAAACGGATGAAAGGCATTGTCAGTCAAGTGAGGACGAAAGGTGTACAACCAACTTGGATTCGATTTACACTTTGGACTGAGATGCAGAACTTTTGGAAGACCGCTGATGCTATAGAGAGGAGTGAGAATGCTTCACAATGCAGAAATTCTGATCGTGGCGGACTTAGAGTGCACAAACACTTAGCCGGTCAGAAATCATTTATTCAAGTTCATCAAGAAATGGTAAGTTGTTTCAATCGCTCCAAATACTTTACTTTTACATAATTTCTATAATTTCTACACATGATATTCATTTTGTCTTTCATTTCAGGAGGAAGAGTGGGGGCGTCCAGTTTCATTGGGTGAAGTGTTTATGAGAACGCATACTAGAGCCGATGGCTCTTTTGTTGATCAAAAGTCTGAACAAGTTGCTGAGGCATATAAGAAGACAGTTGAAGAGAGATTGGCTGAACTGGAAGAGGATGTTCAGGATGCTTCAGAGATTTCCTCTGAACATTCAATGCATCCTAGAGAACTCAGCATTGATGAAATGAATGATATCTTCCTTAAGGTAAGTCATTTCTGTCTTTAGTTTGCTTGGATTATATGATTGTATTTGTTTGCTTGGAGAATGATAGTCTTGTCTGCTGAGTATTGTTACTTTAATATCAATGATGATTCTTATTTGTCTTTGTCTGATTTGCTTTGTGGATTGTCTTTGTGAGACTTCTTTGCTACATTCTGGATTTCGTTTGTTTTTTTTCATTTTGTCTATGATCCTTCTTGTCTGATATCACTGAATGTTTGTATTTTTTTGCAGTGTACTCATATAGATGACCAAGGCAACCCTTATGGCCTTGGATCACTGGTGGAGACCCTACACAAGGGAAAAAGGAAGGAGAGTTACGCAAGCTCTTCTTCTATAGTGACAGTTGTTGAGCTTCAAGAGCAGCTGCGGCGCAAGATCTCTGATCAGGATGCTGAGAATGCAAGACGTGATGAGGAGCACCGGAAGTCTCAAGCTCGGATCGCAAGCTTGGAGAAGCTCATCCTTTTCATGAAAGACAAAGATCCAGACTTGGCAGCTTTTATGTCAACCTCTCCACTCCTTGAACCAGAAGTGATCATACCACCCACCACTACAACAAACACCCTTCCAGCCACCACAGGAGCTGTAGTCCAACCAGCAGGACACACCACTGGAACCACACCAACCTCTCCTCTATCCACCGCCTCAAATGAGGAAACTTGATTTTAGTTTCCTTTTCTCTGTGTATGTGAACTTATTTATGTTATGCTTTGATTAGGATTGTTTTTGAATGGTTTGGAATGGTACTTGATTCATATTCGAATGGTTTTTGAATGCATTTGCTTTTGAAATGGACAGGTTTCAGACTAATAAGATGTAACTATTTTGTGACCAAAAAGTTTCAGAAATTCGGACTAATTTGTGACCAGAACAATTAACAAATGTGACCAAACTGTGACTAAACAATTTTACAAATAACTCCAAATCTCGTATCAAAATGGTTACTAATAAAGGACTATTTTCTCACCATAATAAATGAGTCCTAAAATAGTCGCACCATATGCAACTCTTTTGCGACTAAACTGTTACTAAAACATACACAGCTTGCGACTAATGTGTGACTAAGAATTTGATCCAAGAACTCTAAACGGTCGCAAACAAGGCGCAAATTGATCCAAATATGTAAGGTTATTACAGTCGCAAATGAGTCGCTAACGTCCGTTCGTTGCTCTTTGGTCGCACATTTGCAACGATATTTACCAGTCACAACGTAGTCGGTCATTTGCGACGATAAATTTATAGTCGCCACATAGTCGCAAATTAGCGACTATAGTGATACACGGAAATTTTGCGACCGTTTTTTTGCGACCAATGGAAATAGTCGTTATTCAGTTGCAAAACCCTCTTTTGCGACCGTTTAGCGACTAATTTCATAGTCGCAAATGAAGTGTTTTCTTGTAGTCTCTTGATTATTTCATTGGCCTTCTCATTTATTCTTTTAACCTTTGGTTATACGATAATAATAGATGCATGCAGATGAAATGCGATGATGAATGCATCTTTTTATCTTTATTTTCATGGTTAGTCTAATAAGAGGCAAGAGCTTCGGTCTTTTTTTTTTTTTTTTGTCAACTAGTTAATTTCATTCAGCACTTACATTTGTTAAACTTGGTCCATAATGATATAATTTGGATAAATCTTAAGTTTTTTAGTTCAACTATATTAATTTAAACGGATTCATTATTTTGTATAACCATTAGAATGAATAAATGAGAAGAATAAAGTACAAGATTTGTACAAGATCCAAATCTTGGTAGGTAATTAAGATCCAAATTGAAGTGAAGATAGATATAAATTAATACCTTCCTAACTTCTCATCTTTGAATAATGCTTGCTATCGTAGAAACAGTTTGTATCGATAAGATTGATTGTGTGCAGTTTCTTAACTTCTCTGCAGTAGCAGATCATATAACAGTAGATTCACTTTCTTAGCTAGCTTCACCTTTCAAGAGCTGCAAAATTTTGGTAAGTTTCTGAGAAACGGTTTGCAGAGTCTCGGTTAAGAAATCTTCATTGCCTGAAATATCATCATCCCCCTCATAAATCAGATGAATCCCACTCATCTTTAGCTCAACGCCTTGTGTGTATGGTACCCGTCTTTTAACGTCCTAACTATTGGGTGTGAAGCTGAGTAACGGCAGATGTGGAGCTGATCATTACTTGTGCTAGGCACTCCAGAGAGGTGCAATGTGTGGGTGTATAACGCTAGGTCAAGTTTCAGAATTTGGACCGATTACGCCTCTGATCTCTCTGTTCAGTTGAACTGAGAATGTGACAGGGCCTTGTGAGAACCAGCCCGGGATTCTGTTTCCAGGCAAGCTCAGATTCCGCAGCATTAAGTGCATGTGGGAAAGCTAAGTTGTTGGAGCTTTAAGTGCCGAGACCTAACATATAGTCCGTCCTGGGTTAGGTTAGAGAGTACTAAAATACGCTAAGGTTTAGGTTAGTGAACTATACTATATATACACTTCTGGAATTTGGCGTTACAAAATAAAAAAATGTAAAGAAAATGTGACAGTTATACGAAATTAAAAATATATGGAAAATGATTAACTCTATTAAGGATATGCAAATCAAGCTAACATATATGATTGACCACAATCATCTCTGTCAAATTATTCTCATTATTGTGTAAATATTATGTTGCCTTGTATAGCTCAATTGTCTCTGTATAAAGCTCATGTAATCTCATATCAATAGAATCATCACTTTCACAGCATCTTATATGGTATCAGAGCTCTAGATACCTAGACCTAAAATTTTTTTTTCTTTCTCCTTGGCCGCCGTTCCTTCTTTCTTCAAATCTCCTCTTTTTTTCCGTTTCTTCTCTGTTCCGGTCAAACTCACCATGTCCACATCCACCACAGGCGTGAACGCTTCCTTTGAAACCATCTCCACAAAAACTGATTCTCTTCTCCATGTCAACATGTCAAATGTTACTAAACTCACCGCCTCCAACTACCTTATGTGGAGCAAGCAAGTCCATGCTCTCTTCGATGGGTATGATCTTGCTGCCTATCTCGATGGATCCAAGGCTTTTCCCGCAGCCACAGTCACCGTCAATGGTGTCATCTCCCAAAATCCAGAGTTTGTGCATTGTACCCGACAAGACAAACTCATTTATAGCGCTCTTATTGGTGCTATCTCTGTCTCCATCCAGCCGCTCCTCTCTCGGGCCAACTCTGCTGCTGAGATATGGACCAAACTTGCCTCCACCTATGCTAAGCCAAGCCGCGGTCACATACGTCAACTCAAGATTCAAGTCAACAACTGGAAGAAAGACAACAAAACGATTGATGCCTATGTTCAAGGTCTTGTCACCCGCTTCGATGAGCTTGCTTTGCTGGGAAAAGCCCTTGACCATGAAGATCAAGTGGAGATGATTCTTCAAGGACTGCCTGAAGAATACAAATCCATCACAGACCAAGTGGAAGGCCGTGACACTCCACCAACTCTGACTGAGCTTCACGAGAAGCTTATCAATCATGAGTCCAAGCTTCTGTCCGCACAACCCATTCTTCCAACACCGGTGACAGCCAACACTGCTGCTACTCACTACCGCAACAACAATTACAAGC